AGACAGCAATCAATTCACACCTATTTATAATTACACTGAATATAAATGGATTAAATGTGCCATTAAGAGAGATGGAGAGCAGAATGGATATAAAAAAAAACAAAACAAAAAACAGGATCTTTCAACATGCTATATGAGAGACATATAAAAAGATGGAAACAGCCTAAGTGCCATCAACAGAAGAATGGTTAAACAAACTTTGGTACATACACACAATGCATACTACAAAATACTGAAGAATAGTGATGAATCTGTGAAACACTTCATAATATGGTTGAACCTGGAGGACATTATGCTGAGTGAAATTAGTCAATCATAAAAGGACAAATATTGTATGAGACTAATGTAAAAAGTTAAATAAAAAAAAAAGGTTTTCTTGACAAAAGAAACAATCTATGACAGTTGGGGTGGAGAGGGAAAATTATTCACAGGCTAGAGGGTAGACCCATGTTAACATGGGTGATAGGGCAGTCACTATGATATATGAGGGAAGTTAGAGACACATGGAGAAATGCAATAGAGTGAATAGAGATGAATACTGTTATCTGTTAGTATATGGAGGAGATTGCAAAGTATATGGTTTGTTGGATGTAAAACTGATAATCTTCTGATCTGCTCTGTAAACCTTCACTCAATTCACAATAAAATAGTTTTTAAAAAAAAATGCATGGAAAAAAATACTTTCAATCAAGAATCCTCTATTCAGTAGAAATACTCTTCAAAAATGAAAAATAATCAATTCCCAGATAAACTAAAGCTGAAAGAATTCTGTACTAGCAGACCTACCTTACAAGAATTACTAAAAGGAGTCTTTCAGAATAAAATGAAAGGACACAAAAAGGTAACTTGAATCCAAACAAAGAATTAAATAAAACCAATAAGGAGTTCTAGTGTGGTGCTACAGGCTAATGCGCTGGACTACAAGGTCAATTTGAACCACAAGGTCGGTGGTTCAAATTCAACAGCTGGTCCTCAGAAACCCTACACAGAGTTGCTATGGGTATGGGTCGGAACTGACTCAACAGCACTTAACAACAACAACAACAATAAGTATAACAACAAGGTAAAAGGCAAATGTATTTTGTTTATAACACTTTTTATTTTTTTAATTCTGTCTGATTTACAAAACAACTGCGTAAGCCAAAGATTATGAAACTATGCTAAGGGACTTATGCTTAAGATGAAGTCTGATGGGGTTTCAAAAACCTTGTGGAAAAATTCCACTTTCTTGTAATTCCACTATTCCACAAACTTTGTGAAGCTCCCCCATATATAAGGCAACAATAGTACAAGGGACAAGCAGGGAATGGAGCTACACTACAGCAAAGTTCTTGTATTACTCAAATTAAGTTGGTATTAATCAGATCTATAGCATTGTAGATTAAGATGCTAGTTGGTCAATTACTATGAAAATACCTAAACACACACACACATACACACATATAAGTACATATGGAGTCCTGGTATGTCACTGTAGTTAATGTGCCTGACTGCAAAATCATCTGAACTGCAAGGTAAGAGGTTCAAACTCACCAACTGCTCCTTAGAAACCCTATACATGGTCTGTATGGGTTGGAACTGACTCAACAGCACTTAATGACAACAACAACAACAACATATGTATATATATAAAGAAAAACAAGGGAATTAAAACAATATACAGGAAAATATCTTTTTACATAAGATTAGATTTTTTTTTAAGTGATCTAACTAAATTATCTCCAAAAGAAACACTTTAGATTCAAAGACACAAACAGACTGAAAGGAAAAAAACTTAAAAAAAAAAAAAAAAAAAAAAAAAAAAAAAAAAGACATACTATATAATAGTAACCAAAAAAGATAGACAGTAACTATACTAATATGGGGGGCGGGGTGTGTGAGGGGGAAGGCATTAAAACAAATAACATACATGGAATCCAAATGCTTGTTTTAGAAATTTGTCAGAGGCCTTTTAAAATAGTTCTCTCATAGAGATTTACAGCCTCGGAAACCCTATACAGGGTCCCTATGGATCGGAATCGACTTAATCACAGTAGACTCCTACAATTTCTAAGAATGGATAAATTTTCATTGTGTCTTATAAAAACTGCATTATCTTCTGTTAAGTTAATGCTTCTTTATATTTGTATTTATTCTCAAGTTCCATTCTATAACATAAAATTCTGTTTGGTTAAAAACTATATATACACAAGGTGGGTATAAGATGGAACCAACTCCATAGCACTTAACAACAACACATATATATAAAACCACCATTCATCGATTGGTTTGTCCTACTGTGGTGGTTTGTGTGTTGCTGTGATGCTAGAAGCTATACTATTGGTATTTTAAATACTAGCAGGGTCACACATGGTGGACAGGTTTCAGCGGAGTTTCCAGACTAAGTATATTGGGAGGCTTAAAAAGACCAAGAATTTAAAAAATGTTAAAAAATAAAATTAAAAACTAAAAGCCTAGGAAGAATAGTTTTAATCTTAGAAAGAAGATATCATTAACAAATAAATGTACATAGTACTATATGAATTTTAGAGACATTTTCTATACATCACATTATGTGATCTTTTTAATAATCAAATGGCAGAGCATATTATTTTATACATTTTACTTATTACCCTAATGTTACACATTAAGATGTAGAGGCTCAAGAGAGACCAAGCAGATCACAGGTAAGCGGACTAATACATTCCTGAATTCCAAGTCAGTTGATCTTTCCACAATTGTTGAATGCCACTAGAGACACAGTTGTGTGCCTTGAGTTGATTCTGACTCACTGCAGTCCTAGGACAGATTAGAACTGCCCCAAGGTTTTCCTAGACTATAACCTTTAAAGGAACAGTCTTTTCTCCCATGAAGCTGTTTAAACCACCAATCTTTCAGTTGAGTGCTTAACCACTGTACCACCAGGGCTCCTTACAGACATTACTAGAAGGTATAGTCATGTTAATGCATTCTCTTCTAAAAGCAATCAAAACAGAACTTCTAGAAAAGAATGTTCAGGTGGCTAAGTCAGATTCTTACAGTTTTTTATAACAATAAATATAAACATAAACTATGGTTAGAAAGAATCTATTTATTTTCTTAACTGCTACTTTCTGAAGACTTCTAAACAGTTCAGTACCCACGGGTGCTTTTTGCCTTTTTTTAAAGAAGACTAAAGAAAGAAAGGTAGAAGAATGACTAAGGCAACAGAGGGCTTTTTGTTTTTGTTCTAAGCCTTTTTTTTTAAGCATAGTTTTTTTTTTTTAACATTTTCGAAAAACATATGCAAATTGTGCCAGGAAGTGAGTAGTCTTGGCGTGGAACTGTAGGATCAGCACTGAACTGCGAACCACACGGTTGGCAGTTAAACCCACCAGCTGCTCCTTGGAAACCCTATATAGCATTTCAATGGGTTGGAACTGATTCGACGGCACTTAACTACAAGAACAACAACATTAAGTATTACATATTTAAACACATGGTATAGTATTCATGTAGTATCTTTTAGAGGTTAATTTCTCTTTTTTAGCTGGAATGGGCAGCAAAAGGATTAAAAAAAAATTAAGAGGGGGAAGATATTCCTTAATAAATCACATCAAATAAAAATGCCATGATATACGAGAATTCTGTCCCCAGCATACTACCAACCCAAACCAGTTTTACCTTATTGTTTTAAGAAAGTATCAAGAAATTGCACCAAGAAGTTGCTTACTCTAAATAGGTTGCACTTATTTTTATTCCAATTACTTTTATTTACCTAAATTTTTCAAATTAACTTACCATTCTTTAACAGTTACTTCTCTAATCCCTTCTCCGATGTCTGAGAGTTTGAATTGAACAATCTGTCCATGTAGAGCTTCAAAGGCAAATGAGAAATGATTTCATTAAATATGTAAACATAGGCAGAAATCACTCCATTTTACAGACCGAAAAATACCATAATTCTTTAGAGTATAATTATCATTTGCTACCATCAAAAATTTAAATTTAGGGGATCCTATGAAAATATGAGACTCCTGGTATGGTGCTGCAAGATCAGCACTAGACTGACTGCAAACCACAAAATCGGCAGTTCAAACTCAACATTTGCTCCTTGGAAACTCTATATAGTGTCATTATGAGTCACAACAGACTTGATGGCACGTAACAAGAACAATGAAAATGAGTCCCGGTATGACACTGTAAATCAACATTGGATCACAAGACTGATTTGAACCACAAGGTAGCAATTCAAACCCACCAGATGTACCTGGAAAACGCTATACAGCGTCGATAGGAGTCTGAACTGACTCAACTGCACTTAGCAACAACAACAAAAAACATTGAAAATATGGAGGTGGGGGAGTTTAAGGGAGAAGCAAGGGAGAGGAAGAGCCTTTAAAAAAGATTAACGAGTAACGAGAGAAAACAAGCATTGTCTAAATATTTCAGATAATCTATTTAATCTAGTTTTTTGTTCACTGGTATATCCAAGCATAGGGAGCAGTGCCTTGGTACCAGTGGGTGATCAACGAATATTTGCTGTTGAATGAATTCTCACAACAACCTAATGAGGTTGATTATAGGATTGCTCTCAGTTTACAGGATGAAACAGAAATTAAGTCATCTGTCAAAGTAAAGCAGATTGTAATTGTTGTTATGTGTTGTCAAGTCTGTTCCAACTCATAGTGACCCTATGTATTGTTTCCAAAGAGTGGCTGGTGAGTTTGAACCACCAACCTTGCGTTTCAAACCAACCTTGTAGTCTAATGCTTATCCACACCAGTAGATCAAAAATCCAAACAGCCTGAAATTGGTAGGGGCCAAATAAAGGTTTAGAGAATAGAACAGGAAGTTGAGACTTTCTGATGAATAGCATCAATTGCCTCTGGTAAAGAAATAGAAATAGAAACATATGTAAATAAATATAAAAAAAGTTGTAAAGGTAAGGATTATACTTCTATTGTGGTGGAGGATGACATAAAAGGCATGGAATACAGATATCAAGAGTAGGCTCTTCCTGGAAATCTGTTTTTCACAGACCCATATACCTATCAAAAGTGTAATGATAGAGCAAAAGTTTGAAGTTCAACAGATCATCAGAAAATACTTTTTTTCATGTCCTTGTCAAATCTAATACTTAAGGACCCAAGTTGACTACAAAGGTTAAAAAAAGATAACACCCTCTTCCATCCAGTAACAAGTTTTTAGAAAGTCGTTCCCTAAATAGTTTGGGAGAAGGTAATAGAATGGCAAAAGCCATGTAACTTTTAGTTAGGAGCACCTCAGGCTGGTTTCAAGACACCGTGTTAACATGACCCATCAAGTACTTCATGCCGCAAACAATAACGTAAGAAACAAATGAGTACAGGAACATCATACATCATACAAGTCATCAAACAATTTATCTTGGGTGAGAAATGTATCTAACTTGCTGACTATTGCACTTAGATGAGTCAGAAGAGACGGTCCAAGACAACCCATCTGCAATACTATGAAAACACTAGTATTATCAAGAGGAAGTTATTTGGGAACCAAACCCACTGACATCAAGTCCATTCTGACTCATAACAACCCTACAGGACACAGTAGAACTGCTTCTAAGGGTTTTTGACGCTACAAATCTTTATGGGTACAGTCAGCCTCATCCTTCTCCCATTGAGGAGTGTCTGGCATGCCTAAACTGCCAATCAGGAGGTTAGCAGCCCAACACTTACTCCACTATGCCACCAGGACTTCTTGTATGTAAAAGAGGTGAGGAGAAGACAGAATAGGAAACAAATGCAGAGAGAAGGATAGGTCTACTCTAGAAAGAAAGGGTCAGCATTTTCCCTTCAATCATAAATCAATAACTAAACAAAAAGACAAGAACACTTAATAAGATACAAAGTACTATTTTATATAAGATATTTTGAGATTAGGACTCCTGGTGTGGAGCTTTAGGATCAGCACTGGATTTCAAACCACCAGATCAGCAGTTCAAACTCACCAGTTGCTCCTCAGAAACCCTATACAGAATCGCTATGAGTTAGAACCAACTAGACGGCACTTAACAATGCTGTGGGTTAGGCATTAGACGGCTCACCACAAAGGTGACTGTTCAAAACTACCAATTGCTCAGTGGGAGAAAAAGGAGGCGTTTGTTCCCATAAAGATTTAAAGTCTCGGAAACCCTACACAGGGCGTTGTGTGTCAGACCGATGTGATGGCAGTAGGTTTGATGATTTATTTTGAGATTATACTTACCAGCAGTTGTTTTCAGCAACCGATGCGGATGACTATATTTGAATGAAGGATAACCAAAGAAATACACATATTTTGACTTCAAAACATGAACACTACTACATGTTTGAAAATAGCGAATACAAATCTAGAGATAAGAAAACAGAAACGTGAAACATTAAATTTTACACTGAATTTCAAGTCTATCCTAAAAGTATTACAAGCCTAATCACAATTTAAACAACACAAAATGATCTAGGCTAAAAATAGACTACCTGGAAATAGTTACAAGCAAGTTTATGAACACTGGTTCTTAAGTGTTTCTGGTCAAGAAATCAAAAGACCTCAAACCCAAGCACACTGTGTGAAGCAATATTACACCATTGAAGTCAGATTTGTTAATATGCTTATGACTCTTGCCCCAAATTTCTTATGAGAGAAAAGAAATTTTAACAATAGAATTTTAACAATATGAACACATCTGCTTGTGCTAAGATCATTTAAAACTTTCTGAGATGAAATTACTACAGAATTCAAAACACTTAACGTCTAAAGACACTGGGGTGGGGTTCATATTGCACTCAAGTGAGTGACTTGATTTGGCTGGATTAAGTCTATAAAAGGGAATAAATATTTGGATAAGGAGCTTAAATTCATATATTATGGATTATTGCAGAAACAGGATTAGGAAGTTAATTTACTAGTTTATTAAACAGATTAGAACAGGTAAGGTGACAGGTGTCTGAATAAAGTGATAAAAATGACAGTGGATAAGGAAAGAAAGCTACCAAAGTACAACAAACATTATACATATGATTAACAGTGACTGAAAGGCTACAAAGGCTAAAAAAACATTAAGGAAGGTATTGAATAGAAAGCTAGAAAGACAGCAGAAAGGGGAAGAAGAAAAATAACGTTTCAAGCTAGGGGAGACAATTATTTTTTCTATAAATAAATAGATGATTCTACCAGTAAGGAGCTCTGGTAGCGTAGTGGTTACGACTCGGGCTGTGAACCGCAAGGTCAGCAGTTCGAAACTACCAGCTGCTCCGCGGGAGAAAGATGAGGCTTTCTACTCCCGTAAAGATTTACACCCTCGGAAACCCTGTACAGGGTCGCTATGAGTCGGTTCCGACTCCACGGCACATAACAACAACAACAACAACCAGTAAGTTAAGCATATTGCTTCAAATGCCCAATTTTAAAAGGCATGTTTATAGAATCACCAGCTTTATACATTTTATATACTCAAAGAATTTGGAATTCACCTATGAACAATACTTGAAGACACCTAATTCTAGGAGGATCAGAGATCCCAATATGCCTAAAACAATCTCAGCTTGTGAGCCAAAGTAACTGTTAATTACACCACTTTCACCTCAAAAATGTCCAGTTTAGACATTTCAGCATATGGTATAACTCCTAACTCGCTTATTTGATTAAAATAGGTCTTTCTTTGATTTAAAAAAATTAATAATTCAATATCTACAACCAGAACACATACACAAAAATAGAGGGAGATGAAAAGAAGGTGTAGCAAATTAGTGTAATAAGGAAATAATAATTTAACAAGCACTGAAGACTCCTAAGACCAAGGACTGTGCTAGGCTCCAGGAATTCAAAGCTGATTAAAATACAGTATACTGCAGAGATGATGACATGGAGAAATGGAGCGGCTGGGAACTCTAGACCCAGAGAGGGAGATGGGCTATGTGCTGACAACCAGGGAGCAGGCTTGCAAGGTATACCCTTTGGTTGGTTGATGATGCATGGAGGGGATTGTAACCTTGGCAATGAAATGATATACGACAAGATGAATGTAAAGCTAATGTTCTCCCATGTAAATTATCACATAATTCACAATAAAACATTAAAAAAAAAAAAATACCCTGTATGAAGGAGCTTCAAAAAGTTTTGGGGAAAACTTCCATTATCTTTTAATTTAATTTTCCTCTTATACACTCCCTGAATTCAAGTAGCTCACATTTTACTAGTATAAGAAGATAGACACCATAGAAAAGTTTAATATGATATGGTCAATTAAACAGAAGTAAAATCCTAGGGCCCCAAACGCAAAAACGAACCCAATTGCTTTTACATCAATTCTGTGACTTTTGAGTCAATTCACAGTGACCCCAAGTATTGCAGAGTAGAACTACACTCTGTAGAGTTTACAAGTCTGTGACTTTTTTGAAGCAGATCCCCAAGCCTTTCTTCCAAATAACCTTTAAGCAGATTCTAACTTCCAATTTTCCAGTTAGTAGTCAAGTACTGAACACTTTGTGCCACACAAGGATTCACTAGGGAGTGTAAAGCATAATATGCAAATACTATTTAATAATTTGATAGTCCCTGACTTACGGTGTATTTAAGTTACAATAGCTGTACTTATGACCGTTCGTTTTTGTGTATATCTTATCTTTAGCAATACGTACTAGTGTTACAGAATGTAATTTATTTATGCTCTCATTTCATGTCAACCCTCAAAAAAGATCGGAAAAGAAAAGAAATGTCAAGATACTGATAATTAAAGGCAATAATAAACAAAGAAAACTTTAAAAGTTACTTCAGAACTGACTTACAGTGGAGTGATCAGAACAGAACCGTGCTGTGAGTTAGGCCCAGGATTATACGTACTTTAGAAGATAAGAGAGTTTTTATTGCTTGTAACTTTAATAACAGATACAATATAGTCTAATTTTTACTGAGTCATTCAACAGATATTGATTCAACACCTATTGTGAACCAGGTATGGGGATTATATAGAGAACAAAATAGGCACAGTTCATTCCCTGATGGAACGTGGTGTCCCATAACAGATACAGACAAGTAGAGAGACAATTATAACAAGAGCAGCAATGGGGGAAAGAGACTGTTCAGACACAATAGTTGAGCAGTCCTCTACTAACAGAATGATTGGTGGGTTCAAACCACCCACTGAGTAGTTGCATGGGAAAAAGACCTGGAGAACTACTGCCATAAAGACTGTTGTTGTTGTTAAGTGCTATCAGCATAGAAAATCCTACAAGGTAGTTCAATTCTGTCACATGAGGTTGCTAAGAATAGAAACAGATTCACAACAAGGGAACACAAAGAAGGGGGACCTACCTAGAGAAAGCTATGTTGAAGTAAGACCTGAAGGATGAGTAGGAGTAATCCAATGAACGAGGTATGTTCCAGATAAGGTCATAGGGACTAAGGCAAGAGTCTTCAAAACATTGGAAATATATGTGCAAAGGTCTGAGGTCAGAGAGAACACAGTACATGTTCAGTTACCTAAAGTTGTTCAATATAGCTTTAGTGTAGTGTGAGGTAAGGGTGGATGAAGTGTGAGAGTTGAAATCGTTTGGGTTTTAGCAAGAAATAAGTCTGAGAGACAAAGACAGTCTTATTAATCATTAAAATTTTGGACATTCTGCTAAAGGTAGTGTTAAGGAAAGATATTATCAAATTTATGTCTTACTTTGAAGAATGCGGTGGAGAAGAACAAGAGAGGAGACAGAAAGTTCAATTAGAAAGTGGGAAATGATGTTGACCAGGACTAGGAAAACTGCAGTGTAGAAGTCTTAAGATCTTTAAGAGATTTAATATCAACAGAAGAGGTGAAACTGGTTTGAAGGTTAATTCTGGAGTCTACAGAGTTTTGAAGGTTAGTCCTGGAACCTATAGAGGAAGGTATGCCTTTGAGAACTATGGAAAACTCAGAGATGGCTACAGACCAATTTTTCCAAGCTAGCAGAGGCTGTGTGACACAGTTCTAGTCCTTCCTCCGTCCTGGCTAGAACACAAAATAATGAGTTATAGCAGTCCACTGTGGCCCTGAGGGATAAAATGAGAAAATTGCTAATCACACTGATCATGAATGAGCTACTAAATCATTGCCAGCTCTCATCTAACTTTGAGCTGCTTGCTATGCACTGATATTTAATATTTAATGTATTAGTTGGGTTTTCATTATTTGAAGGTGAAAAAACACTCAATAAACATTTCATTAGAGTCTTGTCGGAGGCGGTCGCTGTTGTTGCTAAGCACCCTGGCCGACTCATAGTCAAACTGTTATAGTGGTTGTTGAGCTTGAACCGCTGACCTTGCAGTTCAAACCGACCTTGCAGCCCAGTGTTTATCCTACAAGGCCACACCAGGGCTGCAGGTGGTGCATGCTGTTGTTAAGTGCGGTCAAATCGGTTCAGACCCATAGCAACCCTGTATAGTGTCTCCGAATTGGCTGGTGAGCTTGAAGCGCCGACCTAGCGGTTCAAACAGACTTTGCAGTCCAGTGCAGTATCCCACAGCACCACACCAGGTGGTGGTTGTTGGTGCTTATTGTTGTTGTTGTTTAGTGCCGTCGAGTTGGTTCCGACCCATAGCGACCCTGAACAGGGTTTCCGAGGCTGTAAATCTTTACAGGATCAGAAAGCCTCATCTTTCTCCCGCGGAGCAGCTGGTAGTCTCAAACTGCTGACCTTGATGTTCGCAGCCCAATTTGTAACCACTATGCTACCAGAGCTCCATAGGTGGTACTTAGAAAAGCCCTTTTCTAGTTACCTCTTACTCATCCTTAACAAGTCTCAAGCTACACAGCATACTCTGGGAACATTTCTCTTACTCTTAGAGTCCACAGTAGGTGCCTTCCCCTACATGCCACATCATAGCACTTCATGGTGTGTTGTCCTTTGCTTATTTAATGTGTATCTCTGACAGTCTACCTCCCCAACCACTGGGCAGTAAACTCTGAGAAGGCAGGATGGTGTCAGTCTTATTCACTGATAGTGCCTCGCACAGTACCTGGTACATAGAAGGTCCTTGAAAGATTTGGTAAGATCAAGGGGCCCACTACTTTAGGAAGAGAAAGTGTAATTAGAAAAGAAAAATGTTGTATTATTTGGTTGAAATAGTATGATTACAGTGATAGCCAGTATTTGACTCTAAAACACTTCAAAAGTGAGGAGTCGAAGAGGGGAGAGATGTTAGTTGTGATGGTTCTTAGTCCTGGTGACATAAGACTTGAATAGGGCGTACGGATAGAGGAGAAAAGTATAGGACAACAGAGTGAGTGGAGCAGCTTATCAGCTCCTCCGAGGCGTTTTTCATTGCTAGTCTGGTCTCCTCTTCTAGACTTTAAGTTCCCCCAGGACAAGGTTCGTATCACCAGTGTCTGGCACATAGTGGGGGCTCAATAAAGGCTGAATTAATCTGTATCCTTTTCACAAAGCCCGTCACCTAGAAAGTGCACAAAGAAAGGATGGTGGGCGAAATGCTAGCGGGATCTCAAGGTGTAGATGAAGTACCAAAGCGGGCAGGCGCGCGCCTTTGAAGGAGTGAAGGGGTCTCCGGAGGGATCGTCTAGCCACCTTCGCTGCCCTTCGTTTTGCAAACATCCCTCCACCTCTCTGTCACCCCTGCCTGATGTAAAGCACTCAGAGATACGAAATAGGGAGAAGGTAAGACACCCCGCTGTGACGATTACCGATAAATCACTGGTTCCGATCTCAAATCTACCCCAACCTCCTTACCAGCCGCCTGGCATTCCTGTTCCAGGTGCTCAGCACTCGTGCTGCAGCCATTTTACTCCGGAAATGACAACTGCTGGGTTGTTGGAAGACAGGGCTCCGCAAGGCGACCAATCCGAAACCGAGAAAGGCGCCTCCCCCTGAGCGGCCAACCAGGAGCAAGGAACGAGCCTCCCACCAAACAACCAACTAGGATGAGGGGGCGTGGCCTGAGAGAAACCTTGTAGAAGAGTGGAGAACCCTCTGTGCGTGGACAGAGATAGGGGGCGGGAAGAAGTTGGAATAACTTCCCCTAAATTTAATTTTAGGGGACAAAGTTGGAAAAGGTACTAGTGTGTAAATACATGTGCACCGACGATAATACTTTTAATCCCTGGAGTAGGACATCATTTTTGGTAAAGTAGAGGGATTGACACAGGACTGCAACATTTGGGCTGAAACAGCAATGATTGTGAGGCACAGAATCCAATAACATTTCTTTCTTTTTTTTTTTTACAGTAAGGTCACTTGGAGTTGGATCCAACTCTTAACAATAACAAGTGAAGAAAAATAGAGAGTTATAAGGTACAAAAAGTCAAGGGGCGCTACCTGGGTAAAGTGGTGTTGAATTAAGACAGAACTGAGAGATGCGTTGTAAAACATTCCCTTCTTCATCTTGTATTGTAAACGCCCTCACTACAGAAAATGGGACATTTCTATACTTTACAGCAAGACTCTGTACCCCTAGTTAGTTCACAAATCCATACTGGAGTATTTCCCAATGATTGGTATTTTTACTCCCTTTGAGAGTTTTTAAAAAATCATTATTACTTTCGGATGCAAATGACAGTCATGCAAAATATGTTACAGACATTACTTTGATTTATCCGTCTCTTGAAGAAATACTACATTAGGGTCAAGAAGTGGAAATTGTAACAGAAAAACCAGATATTTATAGGCAGTTTTCCACACCAGGACTGTACATGGAAGACTGTTGTTGTTAAGTGCCTGTCGAGTCGTTTCCAATTCATAGCAATCCTTTATAGGGTTTCCAAGAAGTGTCTGGTGAGTTTGAACCTCCGACTTTGTGGCTCAAACTGACCTGCGATCCAGTGCTCAACCTATAGCGCCAAGCCAGGACTGCACCTGGAAGATCGTTGTTGTTGTTAAGTGCGGTGGAGAGACCCTGTATAGAGTTTCCAAGGAGCTGCTGGTGAGTTTGAACTGCCGACCTTGAGTGCTTATCCTATGGTGCCACATCAGGAATCCACATGGAAGATTAGTGGCTGTAAAGCAAAATCTCAGCTATTTCACAAATTCACTGTGTAATATTAACCAAAAGCACACTTTTTTTCTTTTGGCCTTATTTGACTTTCAGTATATTTCACACACACATCAAAAAAAAAATACTGTAAGCAAAAAATTGAAATCATTCCCTTTATTTATCAGAAAATCTGGTATTATGAAAAAAAACCTTCAAATTTTAACTCCTGGTGTGGCACTGTAGAATAAGCACAAGCACTGTACTGCCAACCACAAGGTGTGCAGTTCAAACCCACCAGCTACTCCTTAGAAACCCCTTTCTGAGTTGCTTAAGTTGCAACCAACTCAACAGCATTTAACAACAACAACATAATATATACTGACAATGTCTCATTCTGCTATACATAAGGTCACCACAAGTCAGTGTTGGCAACCACCAATGACCAAGAAACCAAGCCCACTGTTGTTGAGTCGGTTCTGACACATAGTTCTTCTCTGACACACATGGTGCTGCCATGTGTCAGATTTGCCTGGATTGAAAGGGAAAAAAAGACCCTTATGAGATATATAATTTGCAAATTTTTCTCCTAGTGTGTTGCTTGTTTTTTCACTTTCCTAATAGTATCTTTTGAAGTACACAAGTACTTGTTTTTTAATTAAATAGAAGAACACTTTTCTATTATCTTCTTTAGTTGTTTTTCTTTACTTGTTTTTGCTTTGGGTGCCATATGTCAGAAACCATTGCCTAACCCAAGGTCATGAAGATGTAAGCCTATTTCTTCTAAGAGTTTAATAGTTTTAGCTCCTATATTTAGGTTCTGAATCCATTTTGGGTTAATTTTGTGTGTATAGTGTGTGAACAGAAAAAAATAAAATCCCAGTTCTCACTTTTTTGCAGACTATTATCAACTGCTGGGAAAAGATAAAATCCCAGACCACACAATCTGACACCAAACTGTGTGTTAATCAATCTAAATCTATTACCAATTATAGTCCAAGTCTCTGTCTGAGCCCAGCTGCATATGCAACACTTCTTCCTCTGAACCTAACCACCTGGAGCTAAATTAGATCTTACAAGTTAAACAGCACAGTTCTCCAGGCTGCCAAATTGGCCCAGACTTCAGATTCAGCAAGCTTGAACAGTCCTCAGGACACCCTCACTTTTGGCCTACTGGCTACAAATCCAAACGTTTCCTATATTCCCTTTTGATACCATCTTTAAGCTCAGGTCCCTCAGTTTGCCTTACTTCTGACCTGCTGGCTTCTTCTTCCTTATGTTTGATCATTTGCTCTATCACAGAACTCACAGGAAGTGCAATACTTACAATTACATTTTTATAATGGGAGGATACAAATGAGATGCATAAAGTGAGGTCTGGGAGGATTCCCAACACAAAGCATTCCTCCAAAATAGGACATGTTACCTTAAAACACTGCTGAAGATCAGAGGCCACAGCTTTTTCGGTATGGCTTGCATCTGGATGTAAAGAAAACAAAAAGCCTCACCACTGGAGCAGTAAACAACATCATGATATATATAGAAAAGATCGAAGCTTTCAAAGATTTCATTTTGCTTGGATCTACCATCAACACTCAAGGAAGTAGCAGTCAAGAAATCAAATGACATGTTGCATTTAGGCAAATCTGCACAAGATCTTTTTACAACATGGCTGACTCAAGCCATGGCATTTTCAATAGACTCATATGCATGTGAAAGTTGGGCAATGACTACGGGAGACCGTAGAAGAATTGACCCATTTGAGTTATGGTGTTGGAGAAAAAATGCAAAGGTATCATTTGTTGTTGTTAAGTGCCATCGAGTTGGTTCTGATCCATAGCGACCCTGTATCAGGTTTCCGAGGAGCAGATGGTGATCTTGAACCACCAACCTTGCAGTTCAAACAGCTTTGCAGTGTGGCACATTAACCCATAAAACAAACCACTCTGTACTGGAATAAGTAAAACCAGAATGCTCCTTAGAAACCAACATGGCCATGTTTATCTCTCATACTTCGGACATTATTATCAGGAGGGACCAATTCTTAGAGAATGATGTCATGCTTGGTAAAGTGGAGGGTCAGTTGAAAAGACACATCCAACAAGATGGATTGGCACAGTGGCGGCATCAATGGGTTCAATTGTGAGGCTGTTACAATTGTGTAGCAGCAATTGTGAGGATGACATAGGATCAGACAGTGTTTGGTTCTGTTGTACATAGGGTCACTATGCATCAGAATTGACTCTTTCAATATTGCAAGTCAAGGCTTGAGTTTTTTCTTCAGTTTTTTCAGCTTCAGAAATGCTGACCCTCTTCTTCCCTTCTGGTTTTCTAACTCTAGGTCTTTGTACATTTCATTATAATACTTGATTTTGTCTTCTCCAGCTGTCCTTTAAAATTTTCTATTCAGCTCTTTTACTTCCTCATTTTTTCCATTTGCTTTAGCTTCTCTGACATTCATTTTGGTATTTTCTTTCTTTCCTGTCTTTTTAATGATGTTTTGCTTTCTTTGTATAACATAGTCTTGATGTCATCCCAGAACTCATCTGATCTTTGGTCATTACTGTCTAATGCATCAAATCATTCTTGAGATTATAAAGGTAAAGTTAAGTTCCTTGTCCCACCATTTACTTCTTAATTGAATCTGACTCACAGCAACCCCATGTATGTCAGAGTAGAACTATGTTCCATAGGGTTTTTAATAACTGGCTTTTCAGAAGTAGACTATCAGGCATTTCTTTTGAAGTGCTTCTGAGTACACTTGAATCTCCAATGTTTTGGTGAGCATCTTAAAATTGGTACCAGCCATGGTCCTCCCCCTACTACCCCAGAGTGTGAGATCTTTAACTTTTGAACCATCTTTAAATGGTTTTTGTGTAGTGTGTAATATAGAAATCCAATTTCATTTTTTTGTTATGGTTAACCCATCATACCACAGCATCATAAATTCTCCTACTGAACTACTGCTCCCCTGCCACAGAAATCTGTTTTAAGACTCTGTTTCCTTTTCCTTTTGTCTGTTTGTCTATCATCATGCCAATCCCACACTAAATTTTTTAGCTTTATAAAAATTCTTCCATTTTGACAGGTGGAGAACTCTCCACCTTATTTTGTTTAGTCTATTCTTGACCTTTTGTTGTTTATGTAAATTTGAAAATCAGGCTTTCATGTAAATTTTAGGCGCATCAAGAAAAAGTCCTGGTGAGCATTTGATTGGAACTTCATTGAACTTATATTTTCAACAGTATGTCTAAAGATTCTTTGGAGTTTCCTATGTAGACAACCATATTTTCTGAAAATAATGGCAGTGCTATTTTTGCCTTTTATCTTTTTCTTTTAGAATCTGACTAGGACTTCCATCTTTCTCCTTTAAAGAAGCCATCATTATGGGCATTGCTATCTTGTTACATTTTTAAAGGAAATTTCCTAATGTTTTACTATTAAGAATGAAGTTTGCTATAGGTTTTTTCCAGATTCTTTTAATCAAGTTAAAAGAGTTCACATTTACTCCTAGTTTTGTTTGATTTTGCTTTTATCATGAAGGGATGCTAATTATATTTTTAAAATGTGTTTTCTATATCTACTGACATGATATTAATAAGTTTCTTTTCTTCTTTAATCTGCCCATGTGGTAAATTACATCAGGAGATTTTTCCAGTGTTAGTTAAACTGATCATTCTCTCTTTCAAATCCAGCTTGGTCACATGCTTTGTATACATTGTTGGATTTGGTTGCATTTTCATTGACATAGGAACATCTAAATTTATGAAAAAGATTGATGTGATCTGATTTTGGTATTAAAGTCTTACTAGCCCTATAAAA